ACACATTTAGATTTACCCACATACTTTACTTTTTCCAGTGCTCTTCATTCCTGCTTTACCTTGCTTGCATCTGGGATATTTTTTCTTCTTGAAGAATTCCCTTTAGTATTTGTTTTAGTGCAGGTATATTTTTTAAAACCTTTCTTGGTTTTTGTTTAACTGAAAATAACTATTCTTTCAGGCATTTTATCTTATTATGCAAGTCTAGTTTGGCACTTCTTTTTCTTCAGCACTTGGCAGATGACATTCCATTATCTTCTGGTTTTCATCATTTCTATTGAAGTTAGTATTGAGAGAGAATTCTCCATGGGCTCTTGTGTGTCTGCATATATTACAAGCAAAGGAATTGCCTGCATTTGTTCTGTACTGTTTTTAAGAATGTTGTATGGCAAGCAACCTTTGAATATAGGGATGGTGTCTCCCTCTGAAGCAGAGGACAGGTGCCCTTTTAAAAATTTGGATGTCCTTGCCTCAGGGTTCCTATCCTGCAACACAACTTACTACATGTGTCACCTTGTGGGAATTGGGGTCAGGAAGGCAAATACTGCTTTTCTGTCTAATGCTGTTGCTGGGAGTAATAAACTGTCCTTTGTTTCTCATCTAGGATTCTCATGTCTTCTGCCAAGAGCTGTGAAACTGCAATAGATTAACTTGTTAGCTTGCAAGTAGGGTAAAGTCCCAGATTTTTCAGTTTTTGATAGTGTTGGTAATAAGGATGGGATGCTGACAGAGACATGACTTTCTGGAAGAGGAAGCATAAGGCCCTGAAAGGCTCTTTAACAGATTTTGAGGGAAGTCCATGAGTAGTGAACATGTTTACCAAATTGTATGGTCAACAGAGCAATAAATGTTTTTTCATTTTATTGCCTATTAATGAGTAGGAATTCAGGAGGTGGTTGTAAACCAAATCGAGGAAGCATGTTCAAAGACAGCTATCTAAACGGTACCCTGATTGTTGCTAACTCTCCTCCAGGGGACCTTCAATTTAGTGGTCAGCCTCAGGTGTGTGCCATTGTAACAAATAGCAATTAAGATTCATATTGGGTGGACAAAAGTTTCCACCCACTTTTAGACAGTTACAGAGATATGTAGCTACACTGAACATGAAAGGAGGAAGATTGATGAACACTATGGACAGAAACCAGATGGATTGTTAGAACTTTGGCTGGGTTAGTTGCTAAAAGATTAAGGAGGAACGGAAATAGCTGAGCCATCTTACTACTTAGCCCCTCCTGTAGTCTGTCATGCCAGCCTTAGATCCCTTTGAAGATGACAGTAACCTTAGATCCCTTTGAAGATGAAAGTTCTTTTGCAGTGGATCTAAGGTGTGATAGAGGAACTTTGGCACCTTAGGACTGAGGGGGCTTTCCCTCAGACAGACAAAACTCCTGTGATACGGCAAGATATTAGCTCATATCCAGGCTCTTAGAGCTCCAGACTGGAATTACATTGCTGATGAAAATGACCAACTTGATATGAAGAATTAGATAAATTCTCAAGAGTCATTTGAAAAAGTCTATTAACCCTTATGTTAAAGCCAAGCAAGAATTTAAGAGGTGTTATCTTGACAGTAGGGTAGCCAATGCTACCTTTAAAAAGATTCACCACTATACAAGTCAAGCTTGAGTCAACCAAGAGTCATAAACCCTGAAGCTCCAACCAGAAACAGTATGGCTGTGGTTTTTAATTCAAGAGGCCCTAAAGCAGAAAAAAATAGTGTCAGTAATGAATGATACCTTGCCACCTATTACAGGCTTTGGTTAACCAATAACATTAGATAAGTTCATTTGGTTTACCTGCAAGCAGCCGTCACCTCTCTTGAAACCAAAAGTAAAATATGCCTTATATACTAATTCAGAATCTTTTTTCCTTTTGTGCTCTCTGATTCTGTCCAATTCCTTATCTTGAACTCAGATGCTTTAAGGAGAAATATGATTGGGATGGCACTGAGGTCTTCCTGTCTCTAAGGGGCACTGGAAGCCATAACCTACCTATTCAAATACTGTGGGAAGTTTCAGAAAGAGGAAGGAATGAAACTTAGTCTCTGTTAAATATAGGATCCCAAGTTGCCATTCTGGTCAGTCCACTGTATGGAAGAAGCATCTGAATTCATCTAATGGGATTTGGGCAGGGTTCAGCAGAGGGGAGGCTAACATGGTTTGTCAGTGGGGCTTTTTAGGCCAATTCAGTGTTCTGTTGTTACTGCTTCTACATCTGAATATTTAGTAGGTACTGGTTCTTGTATTTCAGTATCACTTAAGTGCCAGAGCACATCCTCCCTATTGGAAAGAACTGCATATGGAAAAGTGCTAGAAGTCCTTTGGGACCCCTCACAAACCTAATGACTCCTTTGAACTAGTATTTATTTATGAGTAATGATTCTGCTAATTGGAACCACTGGCAAAGGGGAAGAAGCCCCCACTTAGAAGTATCCCTTTAGGTTTTAGACTTTTCACCCAAATTGAATGTGTTTTCAGCTCTCCAGACCATTTGTAGTCTGACAGTGATATGCTCTTTGTAATAAACACCACTCAGCAATGGACTGATAGTCAGGAAATTCAATGGAAATTGGTGCTGTGGCATAGGCCTGTAATACTAGCTACTCAGAAGGCTAAGGTGGGAGGATTGTTTGAGCTCAGGAGTTTGAGATCAGCCTGGGCAACTGAAAGAGACTGCATCTCAAAAAAAGAAGAAAAAGAACAGTAAAGCTTTCATGTGCCCTGCCATCATAGATATCTGGTATTGTTGAATATAGGAATGGGTCCTCAAAAGCCATCTCAAAGATATCTGACTTTTTCTGGTCCACACTCCTTAGTGAGGAAGTTTGTTCACTGAATATGGCTGTTGCCAGATAGAGATTATGTCTTCTTGGTTACTTCTGTAGAAATAACCAGGAGAAAAGAGGTACAAATTTACTATAGACCTGATTTTGAAAATTTAAGATTCTATTCTGACCATTCTTTTGCATGATGTTTCTTTCTTTCCCCTAATGGCATTCCCTGGCTAGCCTGGTTGGTGGTAGGTAACCCCTCCCAGTTATAGCCTAGCCAAAATGGAGCTTATGAGGTTCAAATTTAATTCTGGTCCAGCTATCTGGATTCTTTTGTTGGATAGCATGTCCTAAATCATAAAGATAATGATGACTCAGTTGAGTGTACTGCTTGCCAAGTACACTTACAGTGGCTCATATAGACCATAGCACAATATATTATAACCAATTTTCAGAGTGATTTATATTATCACTTTGTAGTCTGTGTTTAATACTACAAATTATTGCATACAAATATAGATCTATTTTTTTTCCATAATTCAACAATTTTATTTACATTGGTTTATGAAAGGAAAATAAATCTCTGGACCCCAAAATCACTAAGCTAGAAGGAAAAGTCAAGCTGGAAACTCCTTAGGACAAACCTGCCTCCCATCATACCTCTGCTCACTGAGAGAAATGCATATCTGACTGCTTCCTTTGGAAGGGCTAATCAGAATCTCAAAAGAATGCAACCCTTTATCTTGTATCTACCTATGATCTGGAAGCCCCCCTCCCTGCTTTGAGTTGTCCCACCTTTTAGGTCGAACCAGTGTATATTTGACATATATTGATTGATGTCTCAGGTCTTCCTAAAATGTATAAAACCAAACTGTGCCCAGACCACCTTAGGCACATGTCATCAGGACCTCCTGAGGCTGTGTCATGGGTATGTCCTTAGCCTTGGCAAAATAAAATTTCTAAATTTACTGAGACCCATCTCAGATATTTGAGGTTCACGGATATATTAATTTTTAAAAATAACTAATACATGGAAGTGATAAAACAGTCAAGTATTGGCTGGGCGTGGTGGCTCATGCCTGTAATTCCAGCACCTTGGGAGGTTGAGGTGGGTAGATCACTTGAGGTCAGGAGATTGAGACCAGCCTAGCCAACATGGTGAAACCCTGTATCTACTAAAAATATAAAATTTAATTAGCCAGGTGTGGTGGTGCATGCCTGTAGTACCAGCTACCTGGGAGGCTGAGGCAGGAGAACCACTTGAACCTGGGAAATGGAGGTTGCAGTGAGCTGAGACCATGCCACTGCACTCCCACCTGGGTGACAGAGCAAGACTCTGTCTAAAGAAAAAAAAAGTCAAGCATTATAAAAGTGTATGCAATAGGAAGTTTCTCTGAATTCCTCATACCCCTGACCATGAGACTCCCAATTTTCTTCAGGTGTAATCATTGTTATCATTTTCCTGAGTATTCTTTTTAAAGACATTCCTATGGGCAGAACTAGGATGGCCCTCCATTTAGGTGAAAATATAAACCATAAATTTCATAGTAAGATGGAAGATATGCAACATAATCCCATTTGGAAACCTATAGATGTTTTCACATAGTAAATTCAAGTAGTTGTATAAAAACTCAGTATTGAACTGATTACTGTACTTAAGGACTAGGATCATTCTTGTTTGTGGCTTTGTTAGTAAGGTATTGGGAACATAGTACATGCTCCACTGGTGTGTTAACAGTCAATCTTGTACCATTTCCAAAAATTGATAGAGAAGATGCAAACAGAGTAATTGAAGGATTTTCTTTTTTTTTTTGTTTTTCTTTTTCTCTTTTTTGTTAATATCATACTTTTAGCCCAGATTGCTGGGTAGTGCTAGACAAAGCCCAACCAACTAATCTTTTTCAAGATTCACACTACTTGCCTTATATATGTTAATAAAATGCTTATGCATTAGCTCTAATTTAGTCGCAATTTACTAATCACTAATTAGGTTTCAGTATTCCCAGATCTCCTGTGACAAACATACAGAGCATATCTGGTATATCACTTGTATGAATGTTTAATGCGATCCATTACGTGTTGAATCTTTCTAGCTTTCCTCTTAGTGGGTAAAGTTCATTTTTTGGAAGACACATACTGTGATAATATAGGTAAATACTGATCTGTGTCAACTGAAACTTTCTTACAGTGTAGGGAACACATTCCATTTGGATTTTGTTTATTGTTCCAGATGGTGAGACCAAGACCAAATTGGAAAGCCAGCTTCAGAGGAGGAAATTACAGCAAAAAATGAACCATTGATAGAAGACTCTAGCAGTCTCAGAGAGAATGTTCTCCAGGATTCTGAAGGCAGAGAATTCTGTGAATTTGGGGATAAATTAAATGAAAAATATCAGAACATCTTTAAAGAAAGACCACAAAACTGTGACAAATGTGGGCAAAGCCTTGTTTTTAGTACAAGCCTTTTTAGGCATCAGAGAACCCATTGTGAGAAACCTTATGAATGTGATAAGTGTGGAAAAGCCTTTAGTGTGAGCTCAGCCCTGGTTCTGTATCAGAGAAGTCATACTGGGGAGAAACCCTATCCTTGTAATTTGTATATTAAAAGTTTCCATCGGAGCTCAGACCTTATTAAACACCAAAGAGTCCACACCAGTGAAAAACCTTATAAATGTGATGAGTGTGGGAAAGCCTTCAGTCAGAGCTCAGATCTCATTATCCATCAGAGAATCCACACAGGAGAAAAACCCTATCAATGCAGTCATTGCAGTAAAAGTTTTAGCCAGTGCTCGGATCTGGTGAAACATCAGGATTCATGCTGGAGAGACGCCTTATGCTTGTAACAGTGTAACATGTATTTTAGTCAGAGTTCTGATGTGATAAAACATCAAAGAATCCACACTGGGGAGAAACCATATAAATGTGATGTGTGTGGGAAGGCCTTCAGTCAGAGCTCAGATCTTATTCTGCATCAGAGAATCCACAATGGGGAGAAACCATATTCATGTAATCAATATGGCAAAAGTTTCAGTCAGAATTCAGACTTTATTAAACATGGAAGGGTCCACACTGGAGAGAAACCCTTATAAATGTCATGAATATGGGAAAGCTTTTAATCAGAGCTCAGTCCTTATTTTACATCAGAGAATTCATATTGGAGAGAAACCCTATCCCTGTGATCAATGTAGCAAAACTTTCAGAAGACTTTCAAATCTTATTAATCATCAACGAATTCACACTGGTGAGAGGCCTTACCCATGTAATCAGTGCAATAAAATGTTTCATTGAAGATCAGATCTTGTTAAACATCACAGAATTCATACAGGTGAGAAACCCTATGAATGTGATGAATGTGGGAAAGCCTTTAGTCAGAGCTCCAACCTCATTCTTCATTAGAGAATCCACACTGGAGAGAAACCTTATCCCTGTAGTGATTGTACTAAAAGCTTTAGTCACGGTCCAGATCTTGTTAAGCATCAAAGAATACACACTGGAGAGAAACCATATGCATGGAATCAGTGTGAAAAGATACAGTCAAAGCTCAGATCTCACTAAACATCAGAGAGTACACTCTGGTGAAAAGCCTTATCATTGTAATAGTTGTGAGAAAGCCTTCAGTAAGAGTTTTGACCTTATTCTTCATCAGAGACTCCACACTGGAGAAAAACCATGTCCGTGTGCACAGTGCAGCAAAAGGTTCAGTCATAACTGATACCTCATTAAACATCAGAGAATCCACACTAGGGAAAAACCATGTAAATGTAATGAGTACAGGAAAGCTTCCAGTCAGTGCTCAGCTCTTACCCTACACCAGAGAATCCACACTGGTGAGAAACCAAATCCATGTGATGAATGTGGCAAAAGCTTTAGTCGGCACTCTGATCTCATTAACCATTGAAAAATACACACTGGTGAAAAGCCATGTAAGTGTGATGCATGTGGGAAAGCCTTTAGCACATGCACAGATCTAGTTGAACACCAGAAAATCCATGGTGGGGAGAAACACTAGTATGTTCAGTACAGCAGAAGTTTTAGCCAACTCTGAACTAATCATGAGGAAGACCATTGTGGGGAATACAATCAAAATGTGATGAATGTGAGAAAACTTTTATGTATATGTCACCTCTATTCAGTACCAGAGATACCATACCAGGAAAAAAATCCAATGAATGCTGTTGATTATTGATGAGTATGAAAAAGGTTTTAATCAGTGTTGAACCCTTATACTACATTAAAACCACACTGGAGCCAGACATGGTGGCTTACACCTGTAATCCCAGCACTTTGGGAGGAAGAGGTGGAAGCATCACCTGAGCCCAGGAGTTTGAGGCTGCAGTGAGCTATGATCACACCATTGCACTCCAGCCTGAGCAATAGAGAAAGACTCTATTTTTTAAAAACACTAATACCACACTGGGGAGAAAACTTTAATTCAGTTTTTATAATGAAAGTTTTAACTCAGAGCTCAGACATTACTAAAATTAAAAATTCTCCAGCTTGGCCAATATGTTGAAACCCTGTCTCTACCAAAAAATACAAAAATTAGCTGGGCATGGTAGCAAGTGCCTGTAGTCCCAGCTATTCCAGAGGCTGAGGCATAAGAATCACTTGAACCTGGGAGGTTGAGGTTGCAATGAGGCAAGATCCACCACTGTACTCTGGCCTAGGCGACAGAGTGTGACTCCATCTCAAAAAAAAAAAAAGAAAAAACCTCTTCAGAGTCCTTTTAGTTGTGGGAAAACCTTCAATGTAAGTAAAATTTTTACTGAATGTCAGTATACAACAATAAAAACAAACTTTTATCTTTTCTATAATGTTGTAAAAGCTCTAGTCTTATTCAGACATAGCCTACAAGAGGAGAGTGGTATTATTGTAAGATATCTATAACAATATTAATGCAGAAATTATCAGATATTGTAGAAATCAGTGTGGAGAGGTAGTCAGAACTCAGAAGGAAATGCATTATTGTTATAATCTCAAACCTTTAGAGAGCCTAAATCAATTGCATATCAGAAATTATTTTAGATAATGTAGGGAAAACTTAAATCACCTCTACATCTGAACTGGCATTTATCATAATATGACACCGATGACAGCTAGAGCCTTACTATATGCTAATGCTAGATATCTATTTTTAAATTCCCTGTGTGTAAACATGCTATACTATTCTGGTATTAAACTCGCTAAGTACATAATTCCAGTGCCCCTTTTTCTCAGAAGTTTTTTTTTTTTTTTTTTTTTTTTTAGTTGTGGGGGATCTAGTTTTCCAAGTGCACATTAGTTTGTTCAAGTTCTTATAATGTTCACAGCAAATATGGATTTATTTTGTTTTGAATAATGGAGCCCATAAACTTTCTTGGTTTAAAAGTTCTTCACTACCATTTAATCACAGCTTCTAAACATGTAAAACAGGGTCTTTAAAAATTATTTCCCTATGTCAAAGTGTAGAGATTTTTCTATCAGGATTTATCTTGTCATCTATAGATTGAACAAAAAGTGGTAGGTGTGATATTGTGATTTATAATAAGAAACATATATTTGGTCTTCATCCCCTGGTACAGAGCTCCTAAAACCCTTGAAATTTCCTGAGTGGTAAGAGTAATTAAGATGACAAGCCCCTTTAGCCACATCTGAGTTTATGTTAATGAGATGACTTTTGGCAAGAGAAAACCACAGGATGGGGGTTAGTTGCCAGGGGAACCAACCATGTAATTAGAGGGTTGGAACTTTCAGATCAGCTCAACCCTACCTTGCCCTCTAGGTGGAGAGAGGCTGGAGACTGAATTCAGTCACCAATGGCCAGTGATTTAATCATTTATGCGTATATGATGTGGCCTTCATAAAAACCTAAAGGACAGGATTTAGAGAACTTCCAGGTTGAACCTGTGGAGGTACTAGGAGGGTGGCATACCTCCTAGTAAGGAGGGCATGGAAGGAAGCTCAATGTTCTTCCTACACACCTTGCCTTATGCACCTCTTTCTTCTGACTGATCCTTGGTTATATCCTTTTACAAAGATCTAGTAAATAAACTTTTCCTACATTCTATGAACCATTCTAGCTAATGTTGGGGACCAGCCCAGACACAACCTAGGAATTAACGAGGGTCAGCAGAGACAAATTAAGAGACAAGAGTAAGAGTGCATAAAGTTGGGCTCCCAGGGGGCAGACGCAAGTAGGAGGATGCACTGGTGATGCACACTATTGAGTGTTTAACCAGAGAAGCATGTGCTCAGGGATGTGGCGGGTGAAAAGGAAGCGAAGCATCAAGCAGATGATCTATAGCTATAGCAGTTTGGGATTTCCTTTGAAGGTATAAAGCATACTCTACTTAGATACAATCAGTAAACAGATGGGGAAAAGGCTGCAGGTAGAGCCAGCAAGTATGACCACATTCTGGTGCTTCAAAGAGGTCTTCCTTGCTTTGAGCACGGAGCATGGTCTTCCATTAACTCCCATCATGTGCCAGATAATCAGGTCATGCATCAGCCTTTTTTTCCCAACAGCTAATGCTCACACTCAAAGAGGGGATTGTAGGAACCTTGGATTATATTATAGCCAGTTGGGCAGAAGCACCAGTGAAAACATGGACATGAGATTGATGTCTGAAATGCAGATTGGTGTCCAAAACTGACACAATTGGTATCAGTTGTGGAACTGAGCCCTTAACCTGAAGCATCTATGCTGATCTGATTCCAGGTAGACAGTGTCAAAATTTAATTATGGGCACTTACTGGATGTCCACAAAAAATTGGAGAATTGCTTGTATGGGGGAACCTCATACACATGTGGTGCCAGAAATGTTGTGAGTATAGGGAAGACAATAAGTTTTTCCTACACAGTAGCTACAGTACCTACATGATTAATTTGTATAGTATATTCTGTTTTAAAATAAAAAGACTTTGATATTTTTTCAAGTGGCAATATCAGACGTTTTTATTTCTGACATACATACTGAAAACAGGCAACATACATGCAAAGTTTTCCAGTGAAAAATAGAAATAGTTTGAAAAAATAAAAAACTCAAATTGTCTTTCCGATAAGTTCTGCTACTAAATAATACTACAACATTGTTTACTTTGTCCCCCATAATTGTCGAATTAATATTTAATTTAGTAGACATTGTTAAATTCTATTATTTTCTTAGGAGTGTGATGCTAAGGCAAGGCATTTTGGGAGGTTTTGTAGTACATAAAAAGAATATACTATCTCTTCCAATAAAGTGTATATTCTATAGTGATAGAGACTAAAATGTATAGAAAACACATGGCTGGATGTAATCATAAAAGTAGGACATGCTTGTAAGAGCTCAGAGAAGTCAGGGTTCAATTCTGATTAGAAAAAAAAAAGAAAGCTTTGTGGAACTCCTGAAATTTAAGCTTTGAAGGATGAGAAAAGAGGCATAAAGGCAGGGAGGGAATAATCAGCAAAGGCACAGAAGGAAGTGCAAGAAATGCAGAGTATAGTGGTTATCATTTATTCAATAAATATTCAGTGGCAGGCACTGTACTGGGTCGTGCTGAAGAGGGGTAGCGGAAGGGCCCCTGCCCTCAAGAAGTTCACAGAAATTATGATGCATTATGAAAATGTTTATTGAAACATACATTTCAAAGTGTAATAATAAGGTAGAAATGAAAATCAAGTGAGAAAAAGACTTTAAAATTGTGATGCTAAACAAGCATGCACTTTAATTTTCTGGGCTGTAGCTCATCTCTAAAACAAAAGTACTTGGTGTGGTTGGACTAGATTTCATGTTTCTACATTTTATTCTCAAAGTAATGAAAAATCATTATGGTCTTTGAATGATCTTCCTTCTTTAAAAAGAGTCTCAGATTAAAAGGGGGAGAGAAACAGCAGAAAGGAAACCCAATTTTAAGGCCTAGAAATAAAATTGTGAGGTCCAGAAGTAGAAAAGCTAGAAGTTATTGACATGGTGATTGGTTGAGAAGTAGGTAAGAGAAAGGTAAAATTTATTATCTGTTCTTTGGAGAATTTAAAAAGCAAGAAAAAATAGGATGGCTTCTAAATCTATTTCTGAAGTTTAGCTATTTCCTGAGAATACATTTTAAGAGCTTACTACACAGTTCTCTATTCAGTGTCCTACAGGTAAACTCAGATTCATGAACTTAACACACACATCCATGGTTTCTTCCTCCTGCTAAACACCTTGTCATCCACGTAAAATAACTGGTAATCAACCTACACTCCTGACCTTCAGTTTTCCAAATCTGGTTACTTACTAGGTCTTAGAAATGAGTTGCAAAATTGCAAAATTTGAACAACTGTATATATATATATATATATATTTTATATATTGTGGAAGGGAAATGCAGAGAATTGGGCCTGACACTTTATGCTAGTTGATTCCTCCAGCATTTGCTGATTCTTGAACTGACAGGGCAAAGGGCCAAGAAATCTATTCAAAGAATGCTGGAAGGTTAAATGAAACTCAGCCAACTCGTACTAGGGAGGAAAAATTGGAGTATAAATTGTGCCAGGTAGGTGGTGTCCTTGTAAACGCTCCACATTCTCAATGTAAACATTATATGGCTACACCCCAAGAGAGGATAAAACCTGTGTGACGAAGTCTTAAAAAGACTGAATGCAATGTCAAGTAAGGTCAGCCTTTTAGTGAAGTAAGTTATCTTCCCCTAATCTAGCTGCCAGCTAGAAAAGAGGAAAGGGTGAATTCTCTCTGGAGGATGGCTATCCAGATTCTGCAATTTTTCATGCACAGTGTGATCAATCAAAAATTACCAAAGCCATTAGAGTCAGAGACATCAATATGAAATCATATATACATTTTATGTACACACACAGATGCATATGCAGAAACAATTATATAACATCGATCTATACATATGTTAGTATATATACATACACTACCTAGCTCTTGGAGAGGATCTAGAAGCAATGACACCCTAATATCAATGAGCATAACCAGACCTTGGTTTCTAAATATTCTCCAAATAAAAGGAACCAGGGTTCCTTTGAGAAATGGCTGGTTCTAGGGCTAGGGCAGGGAAAATGCAAGATGAGCCTCGAGCATCTAGTAGTAAAGAAAGTAGGTAAGAGCTCAAAAAACAAAAGGACAGGGGCATGTCAAAGGAACATAGGAGCTAAACTGAAGGAGTTCCCAAGGCCAAATAAGTATACATGCATCCATACTGATAAATAGGTATGAGAGAAGAGACAACTCTTCCTTACGGAAAAATTCCAAATTGTATATTTAGATTCTCTCCTCCTCCAGAGGAAGCTGGATCTTTTGACTTACTTCCCAAAAAAAGTATGGAAAAGGAAAAACTAACTACAGTGAAGAAATCCGACAAAAACTACCGTAAGGCAGGGCTTATCAACCTTAGCACTATTTACATTTTGGATCACAAAATTCTTTGCTGTGGGGAGCTGTCTTTTGGATTTATTGGATATTTGATACTATATCTGGCATCTATCCACTAGATATCAGTAGCAGCCCTCCCCTGGTTAGGACACTCAGCCAAAAATGTCTACGGCCACTGCCGAATGTCCCCTGATGG